GGGGTGACCTATGGGGCATCAGAGAAGATAACCATGCCCATCCACGACCGAGCCTACAACTGGAAGCACAACAACAGGCACAAGAGCTTGAGCCTATTACAATAGGCCAGCTCAGTCGAGTCCTCAAGGGCCTGCCGGATAAAGCCAGTGGGCCAGATGCGGTGTCAACTCAACTACTCAAAGCAGCACCACCGCTCTCCCTGGCACCACTGCTCCAACTGTACCATGCCATGGAAGCCCAGGCAGAATTGCCAACGCAACTGCAAATGCATCTCGTGTTGATGTTGCCCAAGAACCAGTCCATAGAGAGACCAATAACACTCACGTCCACCCTTTGGAGGACTTGGTGCAAACTGCGCAAGCCGTTGTTGGACCAATGGCAAAAAACCTTGCCAGCAACAATGGCCCATGATCGTGCAAGGCCAGGAGCCAATGTCCTGCATGTGGCACTTGAACGACTCTTGAGGCAGGAAGTCCATCGAGCAAGAGGCCTGCGTGGAGTCACGGTTTTGATGGACATGTCAACCTTCTATGGCACGATCAACCTCAGCCGGCTCCAAGAAGAAGCAATGAAGCTGGGTTATCCACAGCTGATGCTTGAGCTTGCAATGCAGCTGTACACTGGCCCCAAGGCCATCTCAGCAGAACAAGAGTTCACGCCTTTCTTCCGAGTCGGTCAAGGCATACCAGCAGGATGCCCAAAAGCACCACTTTTGGCAAAAGCAGTCTTAGCGCCAGCCCTCATCCCATGGAAACAACAACATCAAGAAGTGCACTTGTCGAGTTGGGTTGATGATGTTGGCTTTGACACCCATGGCAGAACACCCATTCAGGTTGCCCAAACCGCCATTGAGGCCTGCCGCAACCTCCACGATCGACTGGTCAGGCTTGGGCTCAAGGTCAATGCCAAAAAGACCGCTTTCATAGCCACAGCAAGGCAACTGACAGAGCCCTACGAGACCTTCTTCAACCCCATGAACCCCAAGTGGCTTCAGTGATGAGGGATCTTGGCATAGATCACCAAGCAGCAAGAAGGAGACGTTTTCCAGTCATGAAGCAGCGTTTTGCCAAAGCCCACCAGAGGAAACTCAAACTCAGGTCGCTGAAGATACCCTCATTGAAAGTGAGACTCCGGTTACACAAGGGTGGAATCCAGCCTGTTGCCCTATGGGGTTTGGAAGCTCAGGGCCTGGCGCCAAGATACCGTACAGCTCTGCGCACAGCCCTGGCCACACAATTGGATTGGGTCACCACAGAGGAGGCACACTGGATGCAACATACGACATCCACAGCAACAAGTACCTTGATCCGGCTGATCAAATCGTCATCCACCACATCAGAGCCCTCCACAATCTCTACCATGCATGGCCAACTGATCAGATTCCACACTTGGAACAAGCTTGGCAACAGATCCATCAACAGTTGACCCACCCATGGTACACTGTGAAAGGACCGCTAGCAGCCACCATTGCCTATCTGGCAGAGTGGAAATGGCAAGCCACAGTTGGAGAATGAGATCAGCATACAAGACCCTTGGTGGAAGATCGAAAAAGCATTGCTCCTTGAAGCCAGGAGCCAAAGGATCACCAGGTTGGCACAGCGGCAACACCACCAGCACCTCCTCACCGGGCTGGATTGGCATGTATACCGACAGCAGATCAAGCGTTTGCCAAAAGAGCATCGAAACCACCTCAAAACATGGGCCCAGGGTGCCATACACCATAGAGAGAATGGCAAGCCAGCACATTGTGTGGATGTGCAAATGGCACCATGCACGCGGCCACAAAACCCATGCCTCCCGAATGGGCAGAAAGGCTCACTCAGCATGACGAGGAGCCCCTATGGAATGCTGGCTGGACACCTCTTGAACCACAAGAGCACAGGCAACTCCAGCGCCAATGCCAAGGGCATGGCACATGGCAGGATCTTCCTGTGCTCCAGCCGCACCACTACCAAGGTTGGGCATTCACCTTAGATGCCACGCCGTCCACCTATGACCCGAGAAGCCAGCTTTGGGTATTCGGACTCTGTGTACACACTCTGCGCGTGGGACAATGGGTATTCGGACTCTGTGTACACACTCTGCGCATGGGACAACTGCACAGACTTGGTGCAATAACAGGAATTCCAACACACCCGCAGACCAAAACACGGGCGTTGGTGGCAGGCCTGCCAAATACACAAGCACTGCAGTGAAGGTCATAGTGCAGGTTGTTGCAGTTTGGGAAGCTTGGACACACCCAAAACAAAGAGAGTATTACCAAGAGCTGTATGAAGCCCTGACCGATTCTGACTTCCAGCGTGTGACGGTACTATATGTCAGCAAGAACACACGCACACCAGATACTCCTGGCAGTGAACCACATCTTCAACGACGCCAGAGGGATGCGGCATTAGTTGCATGGGAAAGAGCAGATGCCCTTCATGACAGGAAAGCCACTGAATGGCAAACTGTACTCGACAAGGATCACGCAGAGATCTACAAACATGCTGCAGCAAGACTGGCTAAGATCTACTCAGACAAGGAGCACTATCTCCACCAGAAGGCCCCCAGACATCAAGGACGGCAAACCAAGCAGCACAAGAAGCAGCTCGTCCAACACTGCCGCAAGCCCTGGAAAGCACCTTTCCACAGATGGCAACCACACAGGAGCGGCTACCAATGCAGTGCTTGTGGGAACGTGTACACCAAGCCCTCACAGCCACAACAATTGAAGCAAGGCTGGAACAGGTGTGCCTCAACTTCAGATTGAGGAGAACTATCCGGAGCACCACAGCCCACACAAGCCAATCCAGAAGAAACTCACCAGAGCCCAGGTCATTGCTACCCTCTTGGCCAAACAGTCAGCCCAACAATCTGACAGCCAGCATACCCTGGAGGAAACCAAAGGGTATCTGAAGTGCACCAACTGTGGCATCAGTGTACACAAGCGCACCAATGAAGATGCATTTCAGGCTTTTGTCCAAGGCACATGCATCAACGGGCCCTATGACCAGCCCCATCCAGGTCATGCCAGCCACATTTTGTGGCAAAGAGGAGACCGCTTGCAGTGCAAGAACTGCGGCACACAAACACAGACAGATGCCCAGCACAGGCCAATTCTTACCAATGCCCTCCAGAAGAGCTGCAAAGGGGCAGCTATCAGCGGCTCACCACCGATCACTGAGCATACAAAAGGCAGCCCCAGACACAACTCAGAGCACTGCCCCACTACCGGATGGCCATGATACCCAGCCTGTCGCTGGCGCTGGCGCTGGGCCAAAGAGCCGTCGATGAAGCGGTACAAAAGAACCTTTAGGAGAAAACTATACATACATACATACATTACATTACATTACATTACATTACATTACATTACATTACATACATACATACATACACAGATTCGATGTATTGTATGGGAATCTATGGGGGTGAAGTACCGGAACCTGTGCCGAGCCTGCAAGTTGCTCTTCAAAAAAAGGTTAGTTAAGAGTGGGGTAAAATCCCAACACATGAAACCAAGTTCGGTAGTTTAAGTCTGGTGTCAGAAAGCACCCTGTTCCTAGATTTCACGTGCAGCGACACTTCGTGATACATCACGGCCGCCCGAACCAATCCTAGTCTTGATTGGGGTCGATCAGCAAAGATGCTCTCTCATCACTCTTTGGGGAAAGCAAAAGAGATCAAAAGAACTGATGACTCGAAGAAACCACATTGGACCATGAAGAAGAACCACAAAAAACCTCAACTTGGAAGTGTGAGCTTGTGGGAATAGCCAGCGGTCCATCTTGAAGCCGGAAAAGACTCAACAACGAGTCAACCCTCTTCTTCACCAAGCCAGGATCCAAAACGGCTCAGCTCGACTCAGCTCGACCCCCCCCCAACCGGCTGCTCTGGGCAGCCCCCCGGACCAGGCTCCCCGTCGACCAGGGCAGTGTCTCCATCTCCTCCGACCATTGGGACCACTCCGAGGGTCCCACTTCATTCACGGCAAAGGCCTCGGGCGGCGGAGTGGAGCGACCGGACGCCCCGGGTTGCGGATCACTATGGTATATATATACCATTCCTGGTAAGAGTGGAGGATGATGGTTAGAAAAAGGCCTCGGCCTCTAAAATAGGACCCTCGCCAACAAAAGCACAAATATATATATATATATATAAACACGACCAGTCGGATACAAATCCGACGGCCTGACCAACGGAGCGGATATCAGCGAAATCCATGCACTTGCGCATGTGCGGTGCCTTCAAGGCGGTGCCTCCAAGGGTCAGGTGATCAGAAATAACCTTGCAACATCTTGCAACTGGAGAGCCGCACCATTTTCATGTGCTTGCCTGTTTCAATAGTTGAGTCGTGTTGAGTCTGGGTCTTCGAAGCACTGCCTTTTTCCCTCTGGCTCTACCGGGAGCCCACCGGTGGTTCCCGCTTCCCCGCGGGGTCAACTCCTCACGGCCTCACGAGGGCGGCGTCTTCGGTCTTCGGTCTTGAGGCGGTGGCCCTGAACTGGTAGGTGTGACCAGGGCCTCAGGACGTGGACGCATGGTTTCACCATGGCAGCGGTTTGGCCGCACCACAAGAAAGGATGGACACGGCGTCCTTTGAGCTCTTGCGAGACCTCAATAGGTTTATCAAGTCTGTCTCTCTCTCTCTCTATCAAGTCTATACGATACTGACATATACTGACAAAGTCTTTGCTGCCGAATGCTCCAGTAAACAAAAACACACACTGAGCCAGCCAATGGCTTGCTTTTCTGCTCCACCACTGTTTATTGACAATACATGACAATACGATCAACGGGACTAATTCAAGATATGCCAGTCTAAGTCCTAACGAAGTAAATATATACGTGTCTCAAATTGCGCGCACTTTTTCGTCACTTGCTCAAAAAGAAAGGATTCTCGTCATTCTGCTCAATTGAAGCCGGAGAGGCTCTTCCACTCAGCCAGGA